GAGCCTATTGTAGCAAAATTTGAGTTATACACAGTGATTTGAGTTAAATACACAAAGGTTCAAGTTCATTACACAGTACTACATATGCAGTATTATACAATCATACTGTTCTGACTTACCTACAAATCTGACTTAAGGACAGACTTTGGGAACGGAACTCGTTCTTAAACTGGAGACTACCTGTAATTAATTAGGTTAGTTTGACAAGATAAGAAATCATCTGAAACAGGCTTGAAATTGAATGCATTATGCCTCTCTCAAAATTTGGAAAAAGTGTTCCTCTTTAGAAGGGACTTCCTCTTCTTCCCAGTCTCCTTACTTTTTCCCCTAATTCTTTCTGTTTTAGTTCCTCTAGCCTAATCCCATCTGTCTTCCCTGTTTTCTGTCCCTTGAACCCACTGTTATTCAGCAGCAGGACCTTGGACGAATTACAGCACCCAGGGTACTAGTTGCCTAGTCTCTCCGGCCACAGGTCATTGTTCTAGTTTCCTTCTTGCATCAGCGCCATCCCTTTCCCTTCCCTTCGGTCATAAGAGATGACAGAACCAGAGGTACGCTATGCTAGCGCTCACTAACTCACTACATTTTCGCTTCATGCTCAGTACAGGAGCTCTGTTTTAAGCACGCTGAATCCCCCTCTCTGTCCGGCTGGCCATGGCTGCTTTTCTTTAGTTTTGCTTTGCAGCACCATATTGTGATGTGAGCGGTGAACTGTGGTCCCAGCTACCATCGGCTATGGAGTATGTTTGGAGACGTTCATACGTGGGACGCAGTGACCGCTGTCCTATGTTACTTTTCCTTCCAGAGCATTTGTGTATCTCAGCAACTTGCTATATCCTGTACCTCTGGTCCATCGTGTTGCCATTGTCAGCGAGAAGGGGGAAGTTAAAGGATTCCTACGTGTAGCAGTTCAGGCCATTTCAGGTAAGAGTTGGGTGAACATAATGAAGGAAGTGCTTGGCCCTTCTACTCCTGGTGAGCAACCCTCTCTTAAAAAATAAGGTCTGCCAGGAAAGATCCTCTTGTATATTTGATTTATATCCCATTTTTACTCAAAAGAATAGCCTTTTCTTAATTGTTGAAATGAACAGCTAGAGTCCATAATAGGGGGAATGCTTTATCAAAGCATTTATTGCTAGGAATCCTGGGGAGCAGAAGTTAAAATTCTTCAACTGATTTACAAGAACATATTTAACAAAGTCAGTTAAGGAACCAATGTATTGTATGAACATGCTAACCTCAGGCAATATTGAAATAACAAAGGTAGGGTTACCAGATATCTGAACAGGCAAAGAGGACAGGACATTTGGAAAGGATGGCACTTGTGGGCGGGGGGAAGGAGAACACCCAAACTGTTTAAATTTCTTGGCATCTGCGACAAAAATTACAGTGAAAAACAAAGAAGAAGAAGAAGGAGGAGGAGGAGGAGGAAGCAGCAGCAGCAGTTGTAGTAGTACTTAGGCCTACATGTATATGAAGTTACTTTTTCCAGCATCAGAAAGACTGGTTTTTCTATGGCAGGAATGTGCTAGAGGGGTTAGGAGGCAAAAGCCTTCAGTGCGTAACTGATGAAGGTCTTGTCAATTTCAGGTAGCAGGAGGGAGGGTACAAATCAACTAATCAAGGTGGCAGCACAGAGCTTGTTAACTTGCTTTAGCACTTATTAGGAAAGCACTGTGCTGTGGAGAAAAGCTGCTCAGGAAGAGATACTCAATAAGCCAGACAATATTTGATTTAAAGGCTATGCCTGCTGGATGGAGGACATGAGGACAAAAGGGAGGACATGTCTTCCTTTTGCCAGACATCTGGTAACCGTAACCCCTAAATGAAGGGGCAATTTTTACACTAAAATGAATACAGGAATAATGGGGGATGGGGGGGAATTACCTTCTTCTACTCAGCTATGTTATGTGAAGTGAAAAAAAAAGATCAGCCTGACACTCGGGCAGTCCTCTAATTGGAGCACCTTACAATTTCCAGAAAATACAAATTGCTGTGCTGTTTTACTGGGCTGGTGGTAGATTTCATATTGATGCTGGGGGATTAACCTCTGTGTCTTGTGGGTGAGGTCAGGCTAGGCTTAGGATTCCATGGCTTTCACAACAACCATAGTTTTATCCCATGTGATTGGTTGGCATTTGGGGAATTCCTCAGCTGTTTGGTTGGGTGTTCAGCCACATACCTAATTGTTTCTGGAAATACAAAGACAATGAAAGTGTTGAATGAATGGCCCTCTCCCAATTGGCCTTTCCCTGATTGCTGATTGAGGGATTCTCCTTGGGTCACGCAGGAAGGCCGGGGAGTGGATGGCGTAGCACAGTGCAAGCACAGTGAGGCCAGAAAGACTTATCAGAGCAACTTGCAACTTTCCCTGCCAGCTTCCCCAATGACTTTACTTCAGGGAAGCCGGCAGGGAAGGTCACAAATGGCAATCCTATTTAGGACAGTGATTGCTCTTGCAAGCCAGCTTTCTGTGGACTATTCTGATGGTAGTGTGGTCACCATGAAAAACTGTGTGATAGGACTCCATGAAGGATGGGATAGAATAGGCCACAATATCTGCTTGCACTTAAATTGCTCTTTATGCCTGTCCTGTGAAGAAAGCTCTAGTGCCAATATAGATACTCTTTATGTGATTGGCAAGTATGCCGGTTGCTCTATATGAATTTTCAATCATATCAAAAGAGTTTTGGATAATAAACCAATTCACGTCACATGTGAAGCAGACCCAGACTTAGCACTGTTTCAAGTGCACAGATCAATGTGGGTGTGTGTTGGGAGGGTAATACAATAATGTAATCTTATAATTTCATATTATGTGGCTTCTTTATTGCTCCTAATGATACTTTGCTAGAGTAATTCAAACAGGCATTGTATTGTCTAATTTTTCACTTGGCTACATTCATGTTCTAATTTAAACCCACATTATTCACTTTCTAAAAAGTTCAGTCTCCTCCAAGTTATGAGTTGATTTAATTCTTCTGGAGTTTAAGTTTCTCAGTTGATGGGAAGGCACACAGCCCTTTCTTGAAAGATTATTATAGTTTGTGCTACAGATTATTAAAGTTCATCTTTGATATTATTATATTTATTGAATTTGTACATTATTCCTTTTGTGTATCAGCTGCAGATTTTAGATTTACTCTTTATAAACAGATTAATGGAACATTTATATTTTAAATAACTTAATCAAACATTTATATTATGGAGAAATGCACAACTCCATGATTCTGTCTTAGTAACACAAAGGAATTGTATGAGTGCATTCTGTAGAATTCACAAAGGACAATCAACCAAGAAAATAATACCTCACTTAAGTCACTTGCACTTTCAAGAGATGAAATCATGTTTTGCTGTAAGGCTAAATGTTAGAAAAATAGACAATTTGACTAATAGAACATGCCAATAATGGGAGAGCACTGGATTACTGTAGGATTTTAAAATTCTCATATTATTAAATTTTCACAGAGGCAATTGATCTTCCTCAAAATAGTGTAATTTAAATAATCCAACATATAACTACCCAAATGAGAAGTCAGCTTAATTGGAAATCAACTTTAACAGCTGGAATTTATATTTCCAAAGTGAAAGATTTACAAATATTTGTTTGTTTCTTCTCCAGCAAACTTCAGAAGAGCCTTATTACAACCTAATATATCTCTGTTCCTGTTAATAACAAATATATATGTCTGAAAACTCTCAATTCATATAACAAAGTACTACAGGCAGAGCTCCAATATCAGCTGCAATTTTTCCCCTTCCCATTTCAATATTTTTAAATCCCATTTGTTTAGTGAACAGTACTTGAAACTTGCAATGATTTTGTACAACCATTTAGCCTAATAAGGGTATTGGATCTGTTGATTTGGATGATTCAAGCCACATGCTGGCTGGGAAATTCTGGGAGCTGAAATCCACGCATCTTAAAGTTGCCAAGTTGGAAAAACACTGATCTAGATATTAACCATTTTTTTACATTGGCTTCATCAAATATCAACTAGTGATTTTATCACTTCTTTGACTAATAATTATGAGCTGATCTTGCTTCCTTGTGAAGTATTTGAAAATAAAAATTTCTAAGGAACTTCTGTGGCTTCCAGTCTATTGGGAGATGTGAACTTGCCTTTTCTTACTATAATCTCTTGCCACAATCCTGTTTCCAGCTGATGAAGAAGCACCAGATTATGGCTCAGGAGTGCGGCAGTCAGGAACAGCCAAAATTTCCTTTGATGATCAGCACTTTGAGAAGGTATGCTATGAAAACCAGGACTATCAGATAATTATTTCAGTAGGGTTGATTTCATGAAGATAATTGTCTCGTACCTAATCAATTATTAACAAGTTTCTTATATAGATTCTGAATAATTCAAGTGCACAGGACTTTTGAAAGATGGGATGTGTCACAGCCTAGTATTGTTGCCTAGTATATGTTCAGCATATGTACTGTTAAAGCTTCATCACCAGCAGCTAAACATTTACATTTCTTTACATGTACTGAGGTGAAAAACTAAGCAGAGATTCTTCCTTTCTCTAAGTGAACTGGAAACAAACATTAGCAACATCCAGGTCCTAGATTTCAGTGGTCTGGTGTTTGAGTGGCTGAGTTTATATTTCATTTTATCGATACTATTCAAAAGTATATGAAATTTTTATTGACTCATGTTGACCTCTGTGAACTCCTGAAAAGAGAAGATGGGATATCAATGAAATTAATAATAAATGCAAATGCAAAAGTCTTTGCGTGTCCTTCTATTCTTTATTCACTTTTGCCTGTTTTCTTTTTGAGCTTCACCATGTGTCTTTGTCATGCAATTGTTTAAAAAGAAGAGACAAACTGTTTTACTGCCGGAGAAAATAATATTCATGGTTTTCTTTGTAGTTCCAGTCTGAGTCCTGTCCTGCAGTGGGAATGTCTCGCTCTGGAACTTCACAGGAGGAGCTGCGCATAGTAGAAGGACAGGGACAAATTACTGACATAGGGCCATCAGCAGATGAAGTCAACAACAACACTTGTGCAGGTAAAAGCCTTCTTGTTTTACAGGGGTGGGGGCAAAACTTGTGTACAGCAATAAAATGACATAGACCTTGCTGGACTTCTTATACAGAAAAGAGAAAAGGCTACATTATCAAATATATTTGTATGTTGTTGATGCAGCCAAAGGAATAGGCTGAGAAATGAAACAGGTTTACATACTGTAGAAAATTTCACATATTAAAATGTGTTAGATGGAATACTACTAAATTAAAACAAAGAAGGGGAAAGTTTAACTTTCTTTTTAAGGTGAGAAGTCCTTCCACAAAATAGGCAATGTCCTATGTTTAGATTATGCAAGGTGATTTGCATGAGACTTCCCATGTAGAATGATCAGAAGCTTCAGCCGCAACTGGTTGCTTTCTGATGTGTGGCTTATAAACCATACTATCAGCCATACTCTGCCATCACCAGGATTTTTGGTATAAAATGGCAAATTGATTGCTAGAACCTCCTTCGATGAAGCTTTCCCTCAAATATGGATGGCTGACTTTCTTCTTACTTTGTTGTACATGTAAGATAAGTTATGAAACATGGTCAGATAAAATATGAAACGTTATACCTGAGAAGAAAGTGTTTACAACTGCTATTATTGTTTTCTCAGCCACTCCAGAAGATCTTCTCCTGGATAGTTCAGAGAAATCCACAGTTGATGGACCTTTTGAGGCAGCTCTGGAGCATTTGAAATTGGGCAGCATTTTCACGTTCAGAGTAACTGTTCTGCAGGCCTCCAGCATCTCAGCAGAATATGCGGACATCTTCTGCCAGTTTAAGTGAGATGCAATCTCCATTCCACCATTTGCTATTTATGCACTTTAGATAAATTTAGAAGACTGTGATCACTATTTGTCATTGATCCACTCTTTTCACATGGGAGATCCTGGCTTGATAGAACCAATTGAAATGACTTTATCATTAAAAAGTATGAGGGATGGAGGCTAGAATATAATTGCATTTAAATGGTCCTTACTTAGACTATGTAGAGGAAGGAAGCTTAATTGTTTGAAGATGTCAATTACTCTTATGAGAGAATGTGGAAATACAGAAGGACTCTGCAAGATGAGAGGAGAAACCTATAAAGTATTATCTTCCTAATCTTTCCATGTATTGTTGTACTTCTGATTTTTCAGTTTCTGAAACTGAAAAATTCTACAAGAGAGTAGAGAGTAGGCATATAGGAAGTCTAGTGATGACCAACAGACTGCAATTGAACTTGTGTTTACATTTTGAATGAATGAATGCACACACATATGTATATGCTTTTGAAATAAATGTATTCAAGCATAGTAATAAAAGCTCTTTTTTCACAGCTTTATCCACCGCCATGATGAAGCCTTCTCTACAGAGCCCTTGAAGAACACTGGACGAGGCCCACCTCTTGGCTTTTATCATGTTCAGAATGTTAGTGTAATTTTCTGCTTCATATTGTTAATTTTGCACATTATGAATTATTTAAATTTGTATGCTGCTTAAACTTCTAGACTCACAGTGGGTTACAGAAGCTCAGTTATAATAAAAAGATCATAGTAAGAATAAACCACAACTACAAATAATATCCAAACCCAATTCAATTTTGTAAAAATGAAAAACCAAAATAATAAAAAAACCTCAATTTACAGTAAGTAGAGTCCGCACCCAAGACAAATATCCCATGATAAAGAGGCCATAGAAACATGGCAGCACTTATAGTATTATGAAAGGAAACACTGTATAGAACTGCCTAGTGAATAACAAAATTATGAAAAAAGCACATTGTTCTGGATTCAGGCTATATTTTTTCTACTGTGGATTAGCAATATTCTCATGTCACAGACAACTAGTTACTTCCTTCTGTGGGACATCTCCTCAAGTTGAAAGCTCTATGATAGAACATGTGATGCATGTTATAATTATCTCTGTTAACCATTTCTATAAATGATACTGATTGGATAATGAAAACATAGCAGTGTGGGAAACACACAATCATCTTGGAAGTGGCAATCCCAGAAATAGGGCATTACCTCTGAAGAGCCCCTTTTCTGTTCAGCATTGAACTCAGGTGATAAAATGATACGGAGGAACTCTCCATGGAGGCCATATACAAGAACAGCTACACTGTATCTCCCATTTCCCACAATCTAGCATTGAATTACTTGTGGAAAACCCAGCATGAAGACTTTCCACAAGATCCCTCCAACAATTAATATTTAATGCTGTCATGTTCCATTTAAAGTATTACAGTGAATATGTAGAGAAAGGCCTACCTGTTAATGCATAAGAGGAACTGATGCACTTAATCAGAAGCCTGTCTAGTCCATCATTCTGTTTTTCATTGTGACTTACCCAGAGTTACATAATTAGAACATGACTGCAATAAAACCCTCCAATCGTGTTCCCAAATAATTCATATTAATAGGTATATTGCCTCCAGTGATTGATTATGTGCCATTAAGTGTTAGCGACCACATAGTAGTAGTAGTAGTAGTAGTGTTAGCAACCATGTAGTAGTAGTACTAGTGTATAGGAATTGTGATTAGAAGTCACTGAGAGTGTTCCCTTCAGTGAATTTATCTAATCTTGTTTAAAACCTGAGAAGGTTCAAACTGAGAAGAAAACCTCCTCTTTACCTAAGCACTTATCTTCCCTTATGTGTTAATCCTCCTTTAAAACTGTGTAAGTCTTTTAAAGACTGGCAGGAGTTTAAGTCCAGCTTTCTGCTTGCTGGTTTTAATAATCTCTATGTATGTTACAATACTAGAGGCGTAAACTGCTACTTTAAAGACAACAGTATTTTGTTTCCAATGAAAGAGGGGCAGGCAGGTGAAGATCACTATGAAAGGGAAGAATTTAATTTGTTTTGTAGAATTATGTCCTTGACATATTAATGATATTTTATGCCTTGTTCTCTTGATTTCATTTCCTGGAAATACCACTGATCAAGGAATAAAGGAATAATGAAGATAATGACGTATATTCAGATTGAAGTTTTAAGTTTTGCTGCTTTTTTAGCTTCAGTGGATGAAAGTTTTAGACCTGCCAGCAGGTTTTACCCATCTTAATAATTTGATCATTTCAAGTTACATATCTTGCTATGTAAGGTCAGTCTTTTTATCCTTTTCTTTCCTGTCTTGCAGATTGCAGTCGAGGTCACCAAATCCTTTATTGAGTACATTAAGAGCCAGCCCATTGTCTTTGAGGTGTTTGGCCATTATCAGCAGTATCCTTTCCCCCCTCTCTGCAAAGATGTACTCAGGTAAATGATCACCCATGACCTTTCACTACTTTTGGTTTATCTGTTTCTTTATCAGAAGCGGAACTTACCTTGCAAAGCACTGAGATGTTTGCCTGATTTTCAGCACGCTCTGGTATGCGACAGCAACAGTTTACTTTTGCAAAGCTGCTGCAGTGAAGTGGTGCCATTATAAGTCAACTAAAACATGTCCAAATATGTTATCTAAATTGGGAATCATATCACAACACTGTTACATTTATGTAAACCAACTTGGCTAGTCAACTGGGCAAGAGGAGTCAACTACCAGATATAAACACCGAATCTTTATTATTTCAAATTCTTAGACAGATAAAAAGTTGTGATACTGTGTTATACTGCATGCACCATGTTTGAGCTCCAGCATTTGACCAAGCACAAACTTTTCTTCAAAAGTTTGTAAGACCTGCCCTGTAGGTCTGCCCTGATTGATTACAGTTTATTTTTATAGCATTCACTTTAATTAGTTGTGTTTTTTTTTATAGCCCCCTAAGACCATCCCGCCGCCATTTTCCTCGGGTCATGCCATTATCAAAACCAGGTAAGTGAGAAAGTATTTTTTGTTTAACGTGAGCATTAATGAAAATTTCAGACTTTTAGAAAAAATAGATGAGCTTTTGTAAAACCTGTTGTTTAGAAATGATGGGAATTATAAACCAGTACCTCTGGAGATCTTCAGGTTGAAGCTGCCTAGACTAGCAGAAGACCAGCTTACCTGCCAATATAGCAGATGACAATTATCTCAGATTTACATGTAGCAAAATAGTAGAAGCAACGCTTGCTTTAGTCTGGCTTGACAATACCAAAGATTTAGCTATGCCAAATCCAGTTGCCCTCTAAATGTGATAAACCTTATGGTTAAGATTCCTTCCTGTGAAGCTAAGATACTGCAAATCCCTCTGACCCTGCCAAGACAATATTCTGATAATTTCCATTAAGTTCTGTGTAAGCCCATCTATTAAAGCACCTCTGTATCAAAATCAAATTCCACATTGAGTGGTAGCATATTTCTGTATACAGGGCCCACTTGTAAAATGCTGTTGTTGCCATGATCTGAATATAAGCTTCCCAGAGACATTTAACTGGCTACACTTGAAAAACCTGAGTTGGATTAGAACATGACTGGGCAAACTGCATTCCACAGGCCACATATACAGTATTTTAGCTCATGGAAGTCTATAGTGTGACCCAGTATTGATGACTAACTTCTATAAACCTGCACTCATCTCTTAAAACTATTAGTCTATTCTTTAGTTGGGTAGAGTGAATAGTTGGGGGGGAGGGGGAGAGAGGTTAGGAGGAAGAGGAATATATTCTCTTTACGGTATATGCATTCCATCATATTCTCCTCAGCTAAATTGAATTCTTTCCGCATATATAATTTTTATTAGAGATTTTAACGTAGGTAAAACATAAAGATGAAAAGATAAAGAAAAATTGAGAAATAGAAAAAGAAGAAGTGCAGGAAACAATACAGACAGAAAAGGAAAAAGAAAAAGAGAAAGATATATAAAGAAATGATTTCCGTTCTTCTTTACAGCAGTTACAAACAAACTTATTATCCTTCCTCCCTCTTTGAGATTATGTTACATGGTTCCCTTCTTCCCATATTCAATCCTTTTTAATCAGCAAATCCATAAGTCACCAATTCATTTTTTTCCATTTTCAGCAAAAAGTCCATGGAGGTTTCCAGTCTTCTGTAAAAGTACTTATTGTTTTATCCCTGATCAACCAGGTCAATTTTGCCATATCTGCAAATTCTGCCATCTTCACAATCCATTCCTCCATTATGGGTGTTTCAGTGTTTTTCCATCTTTGTGCATGTAGTAATCTCGCTGCAGCTACCGTATACAAAACCAGTCTTCCATAAGTCTTTTCTAATTGGCTATTCATAAGTCTTCCCTCCAAAAAGTTCTGGTTTCATCTGAAAATTAATCTCTGGAATTCTTGCATCATCATGTTTATTTGTATCCTTTTTGTTTTTGCTTTTTCGCAAGTCCACTGTGCATGATAAAGCGTCCCTCCAACGTTGATTAGAAGTACCTTTATATATTTTAGATAATTTCTCTGGTGTCATATACCATGGTACATCATTTTATAACAGTTCTCTCTTAAATTACATCACAATGTGAATTTCAGTCCTTTTAGCCACATTCTCTCCCATTGGTCCATCTGTATATTATAACCAAAATTCTTAGCCCATTTTATCACACTCTCTTTAACTTGTTCTTCTATTTCAAATCTCAACAGTAGTCTATATATTTTAGCAATCACATGTTCATCATTTGTACATAATTCAATTTCAAATTCTGTCTTATGTTGTTCAAGTTACTTTTTTAACTACATTAAACCTCTCTCTTAATTATGCATATGAAAACCATTGAAAAGTATATCTCTCTTCAGTCAGTGGTTCTCTTGACTTCATCTTAAGTTCTCCATATTCCTTTACTAACAAATCTTGATACGTTAACCATTTCTCTTTGCCTGCTGTTTCTTTTCTATAAAATGCTTCTTGTGCTGAAACCAATAAAGATATTTTTGGGCACAGCCTGGGTTTATATATCTATTTCATATTCTTAATATGGCACTTCTAACATAATAGTTTTTAAAATCTACTTTAACTTCATTGTACCATAAAAAGCCATGCCATCCAAACCTCAAGTTGTGTTCATCTAATTCTCTTATTTCTCAACAGCACCCACTCTTTCATCCAAACCAAACATCAGGATGCAAAATACAATTTGAAATCAGGCAGTGCTAGTCCTCCTCTTTCTTTTGCATCTTGAAGAATTTTATATTTAACCTTGGTTTCTTCCCTTGCCATATAAATCTATATATCTTTTTGCCATTGCTTGAAAGGTTCATCGTTTATCAAAGCAGGTATTATTTGAAATAAAAACAACATTCTAGGTTAGGGTTTTTCATTTTTAATTAATTAAATTAAATTAAATTAAATTAAATTAAGTTAATGAATTCTTAATTCATTTTTACCACAGAAATCCTCCCAAACAGTGATAATTGTAACTTTTCCCATCTTAACATATCTTTCTTAATTTCATTAATTTCATTAATTTCATTCCATACCTTAACATAATTATTACGAAATAGCATACAATTCATATTAGTCATAGTAATGAAAACCAGTTTTTGCAATCATTTTTTTTAATCTTCCATCCTCATATTTTTTTGTTAACATCTTCATTTTCTCATTGTTAATTTTAAATCCAGCCAATTCACCAAATTCCTTTAATTTTTTTCCATTAATATTTCTAAGCCTTCCATGGGATTTTCCAAAATTAAAACCAAATGGTCAGCAAATGCCCTTAGTTTGTATACTTCTTTTTAATCTTCACCCCAGCTATTCTCTCATCATGTCTTATGTCTGTATTTAAAACTTCAAGGCCAGAATGAATAACTGCGGCAAAAGCAGGCATCCTTGCCTTGCTCCTTTCTGTATTCCACAGACTTTGGTCAATTCCCCATTAACTATAATTTGTGCCATTTGTGAAGTATATATCAGTTTCACCCATGTGATAAAATTTTCCCCAGGCTCCATATCTTCTAGAATTTTGAACAGAAAAGTCCAGTTCAAATTATCAGATGCTTTCTCCGCATCCAGGAATATCAACACAGCCTGTTTTTCAGTGAATTTTTTCTAACCTACTTGTTTGAAAGCAATGATGAAAGGTTTAAGCTGTTCCTTTGAATCAATTCTTCTTCAATGAACTTACTTCTGAAAGTAATTTCTCACCGTTTCCCTAGATCAATTCTTTTTTTTACAAATGTACATCCAAAATAATTTCCTTTCTGCCTCCAATAGTTAGGAATGTCAAGTGACCCTAAATGCATGCATCTGCCAAACGAAATTCCATTGCAGTCAATGAGACCTACTTCTAAACAGAAATCCAATGTACAGGTATATAGTATGGGATCTCTTCTCCTGTTCTCTATTATTTCAGAGTGCGAGATATGGATAGAATAATGATCTTAAGTTTTAAGAAGTGAGATTTCATTTCAATGTTAGGAAAAGATTTTAATCATAAGAAGAATTTGACAATTGAAGCAATTATCCAGAGAGATGGTGAGTTTCCCTTCACTCAGTAGATGTGTTGAAGCGAAGGCTGGTTAGGCATTTGGTAGGGATACTTTAATTTGGATTTTTGCACTGTGCAAAGGTTGGACTTGATAACCTAAATGGCCCCTTCCTACTCTGATTCTGAGTGAAAGTGTACAAAATTACAGACAGTTTCGTGTAGTTGTTAAGATGCTGGCCTAGAAACTAGGAGACTCTGAGTTCTAGTCCTGCCTTAGGCATGAAAGCTGGCTGGGTGACTTTGGACCAGTCACTGTCTCTCAGCCCAACCCACCTCACAGGGTTGCTGTTGTGGGGGAAAATAGGAGGAGGAAGGGGTATTTGGTATGTTTGCTATCTTGAGTTATATATAAAAAAGGCGGGTTAAAAATCTAATAACAGTAATAATTACAGCCTAAATTTATTTATTTTTCTCCCACTTTGAATCCTACCCCAAGATATTTTCATCCATTTTCTTGCCAGCTTAAAAGTGTGGGACTCCACAAAACAAACAAAACAAAACATTTAGAATGAGCAATCAGCAGCCTTCAGATTTGTCAGCCAGCCAGCCTGTCTCTAATACTTTATCCTCCCAGGATCCTCCACTTCACAGCCATGTAGGTGTCACTGTTATAGGCTTCATTTTTCATTATAGGTATAGGCAGAGACTTGCTGATTCCTTTGTCTTAGTGTTTACAAACAGTTAACATGGCTATTTATAGACAGGCCAGACACAAAAAAATGTTTGATTAATAACGGTTATGGATTTACTTGGAAAAGCTGTCCCAACTCTGTGAAATTAGACAGCATTGTGTTGACAAATTTTAATTGATGATAAATTGAGATACCAGACATCTTGCCCAGAATTTCATAAGGAGTTGGTGTAGCAGAGAATTAACTCTGTGTCATCCCTGCCCCAAACTTACATCTGAATGGTAAAATATCAATTTAAATCAACCTTCAACTTTTAACCAGCTTCCTTTCCCTTGAACTGAGCACTTGCCTGGGTAGAAAGATAGGATATCAACTGAATAAATAAAAATATGTCATCAGTGAGGAACATGGAGCAATCTGGGTTGTCCTACTTTACCAGTTTTGATTTCTAGAGTATAGCTGATCTGCTTGGGATACCTCAATGTTTCCAGAGTAATTGGAATAATTTTTAGACACCCATTACAGAAAAGTTGCTCCAATTGCTCAATAACTGCTTATTTCGTCATATCAAGGAAGAACCACAAAGCATGATCCTTGTTTGAAACTCTTAATGGTGTTGGATGTAACATGTATCCCATTCTTTGTGTGCCTTCTGTCTTTCACATAAATTCTTGTACTGGTTCTTGTGAGGCATTGTGCATGGGCTCACAGCCTCATCTATCTTGCTTCTGTGCATTTATGTCCAAAGGCCTTCTAGTGCCAGCCCCTTGTCTTTGGACTTGGCTCTCATACCTCTTTATGTATGATGCAGAACCCAGGTTCAGTATGTGATCACAGGGTTTCTCAACTTATATATTTGGCCTATTATTCCACTTCATTTTGTTTTTTTAATTTTTGCAGTGCCTGCAACAAAACTGAGTGCCATGACAAGGCCCAGCATTGGTCCATGTCAATGCAAGTACGATCTGATGGTCTTTTTTGAGATCTGTGAGCTGGAAGCCAATGGCGAGTAAGTTGCTTTATTTGCTTATGAACCACTGCATTTTGCTAACTAATTTAGAAGCCACAATTACCAAGTTCACACAGCTGAAAGATTTTCATCCTGGTTCAGTACATTTGTTGGAAAAATATTTGCCAAAGTTTAAAGTGAAATGCAATATGATAAGCATTTATAGGGCAGATTCAACCTTACTGAAATCTGAACTGGATCCATTCAATGCATCTGCTAACCACTTTATACTGAGTCAGACCATTGACTCTATCTATATTAATATTGTGTATAATGACTCTCTGGCATAGTTTCAGACAGGAGTAAGTAAACACTCCCTTCTGTTCAGATCTGGAGATTGAACCTGGGAGACTCTGAATGGAAAACATGCTCTCATCCTGATTCTAATTGTCCACAAAGCAAGTTCACAAAGATGGAAAAGTTTAATGAGGCTGAAAAGCTGATGATACATTGTATTTTCCTCAGAGGTAGCGAATGGACCTAAATCTGGTGGAGGGCAGGGCTCCTGGACCATTAACAGTCATGCAAGCAGATACATTTCTGCAGATGTATAGTCTCCAATTATAGTGCTATAGAAACCTTAGAAGTTGGAGCTCCAAAGCTTCCCTTTTCTGCATGACTATTAATCACCTGATGCAGACATTTTCTAATGTTGCATTTTGCTAAACTTTTCTAAAGGATGAAGCTCTGAGACAGATGTAGATCTCTTGTCTAATTATAAGAATCTGTAATTGCAAATGGAAACAAGCCATATATGTGCAAATTAATGTACAAAGAGTTTGAAATAAAGAATACCTATGTGAAGGCCATGCTGAGGGAATTACTGAGAAAAGATCATATAAATGTTCTTTAATTATGAATAATTCAGCCTGGTCTCCTTGTGTCACTTCATTTAATACTTATTTTCTCTGGGATTGGTTTCTATAGAAACAAAACCACTTTTCTTTTATAGATCTTGAAGGCTGTGAATACATTTCTGTTTCTCTGTTTAATTAGATTGAATTTTCACCCTGTGTACTTCTCTGCTTCTTAAGCATATCTTAGCAATTTCTTGTGTCACAAAACAGAACATAGAACTATGAAATACTATCTTATGTCTTAATAGCAAAGAGCAGAATGGTGCAAAGAAGCCTATTTTTGAAGTCGTACAGAAGTTGTACGATATGAAGTTGTAAACAAATTTGTCTGCAAGATGAGCCCTTTCGTGGTGCTATGGCTCAGTGGCAGAGATAACTCAGATATTGTATTTTTGGTGCAAAAATAAAGTTCAGTCAATGTGAGCAAATTAATATTGGTATATATTTGGTTAATCTGTGCAACATAGATGGAGATGAATAGTGGATTTCACTGGCATTGTTTTTTAAGCTTTAGTGTAGTACAATTCCCATCACTCTAGTCAGTGTGGATATGGTTATCTAGTTGGGGTTAATGTTAGGGAAATACAAGTCCAAAAACATCTGGAAGGCACAAGGTTGGAAAAGACTGCTCTCTATTCTGTCTCAGTGAAGTTATCTTTTCTAGCTATATCCCAGCCGTTGTGGATCATCGTGGAGGAATGCCTTGCCATGGGACATTCCTATTACATCAGGTATTTCCTACATTCTTCTTACCAATTCCTATTGATCAATCCCTAGTGATATGACATTTCATACCAAACATTTTAAGGCAAGGGTTGGGCAGTAAAACTCTCAGAAAACTTCATGTGATTTCTGTTTTCTCTTTCTAAGTATAATGTGACAATACTGTAGTTTACTTCTAGAAAATGAGTTACTAGATGCTGTACAATTTTTAGCCAACTGGCATTCTTGAAGAATGCTTGATTCAGAGTATTCAAAAATATTTTAGATGCATTCCCTGCCTCATTGAGTAATCTTTCATCTGTCTCACCTGAATGGGAGAACATCATTATAGTTTCCAGCAATTACCTATAATCTTTTTGGCTTTATAATCTATTTATTATTTTTAAAAATCCTTTTTTTGTTTTTATTAGGATCATAATATGGATTAGCAATCTACTTTAAAAAAAATCCTTATAAATATACATTCTGGAAATATAAAGGAGCAGATTCATTTAAAAAACAATAACTACCTTTTTTCTCCAGCATATGCAGCAAAAATTGTAGTCAGATTGTATAATACTGTATAAGTAGTATTGTGTAAATAATTCGAACCATTGTATATTTAACTCAGATTTTGCTACAATAGGCTACATTCTTAACTATGGGTCATCCTTAAACTGGGCGTTCTTAACCCGGGGACTACCTGTAATCCATAAAAGCTTCTACCATAATAAACATATTCATCTTTAAGATATCATACGACTCTTGTTTGTGCTGCAACAGTCCAACAGGGCAATCCCTTTTTATATCTTTTCATGTGCCAGGTGAAATCCATCCTGTTCTCTTTTATCTTTCATTTCTTTTCTTTATTTAGTGGTTTGTAATGGTATTAGAAAATCTCTTAAGGACAGGGCTCCGGGTGG